ACTGTCTTCAATGAAGCAAGAAAGCAGCACTACAGATATCACAATGGTTTATGTCCTTCCAAAAGGCCAGCCTGACCTATGTTGTAGTACCAGAAACTAAGGAAGTGTTCAAACTGATAAGCCCAGAAGTGATGAGCCATAGCAAGCAGACATAGGAACTACTAAGAGGTTCTAAAGGCCAAAAGTAATCTGAAGTACCCAGACATTCATAAGTCAATACTGATAAAATGATTTCAAATGAGAATGATAATAAAAATTGAGAAATGATGGGTTAGATGGAATAATTGTACTTTTCATTTTTATCTTTATAATTTAGTATTTTAAAAATAAAAGTAAGCCAGATATGGTGGTATACACCTGTAATCCCAGCTACAGGGGAGACTGAAGTAGGAAGATCACAAATTTGAGGCCAGTTGGGCAACTTGGTAAGAACTTGTCTCAAAATAAAATAAAAAGAGATATAGCTCAGTGACGGGGTGCTAACCTACCATGTACCAATCCCTGGGTTCAAAACCTACACACACACACACACACACAATAAGATTTACCCAGGGAAGGAAAGTACTAAGCAAAAAGCAGAATTGTGACTGGAACATGCAGTTCTTCAGCCCAAGCTAAGTGTCCCTCTTCTGGAGAGCTGCCCAGCTGGTGTCTCTTCAGCACCAGTTCACTAATTTAGGAAGCGAGCCACATTTCTATTAAGTACCTGGTGATTCAGAGGTAATTGGCCCCGGACAACTTTTGAAAAATACTGGTGTAAAGCCAAATTTGCACTTGAAATCAAGGAAATTCTTTAATTTCCATCTGCTTTCTATGAAATGATTTTGAATGAATCAATGATTGACATGCTTCAGCTTTTTCAGACTCATATGGTGACTGTGGCAAGCAACAGTTTAAGACCCTTTTATAAATGTTCTAGTTATTTTCTGACCCAAAGACCAAGGTAATATTCGAAGCATCTGTGAGTTACTAGCTTAATTATAAGAATAAGCTTGACTTAATTTCCACCTGAACTTTAAGCAGCAGCCCCATAACTTGGGAAAAATGATACTAGTCCTAAAATACGGAAAAAGGTAAGCTTGCTTTAAAAAGCAACCATCTTACAACAGGAAATCCATTTTAGACAAAACTGGCCCATGAACAACTCATAACCTTTGGGTTTTTGCTGTCACTGTCTGGTCTTACAGGGGCAACACCTTTATTAGGACTGGAGCTATAGTTCAGTGGTTAAGCATTTGCCTAGCATGGGTTTGATCCCCACCACCAAGCAAAGAAAAAAATCATACGTTATCTGATAATCACTCTCTTCAAAACTCCATTAATAAATTCCAAATGACATAGCACATGGAGGGGTCCATGACAATCCAATAGGAATCTATTACTGTGTCAGCCCAGGCTGCAGCCTCCCTTTGGTGGCAGAAGCCCTTTCTGCTCCAGACAACTACTCCATCCCATGGGTCCTGATGGAAACTGCCAATCAAGATGCTCCCTGGCTAAGGACATTTAATCTTTGATCTCCACAAGGCTAAATGGCACTTCCTGGAATTGACATGCCAGACTAGGAAACCCTCACTCATAGGAACAAGGTCTGCCTAGCACAGTGCCTGGCTATGAATATTCAGTGCATGTGGGTTGAATGAGTTACACAGAAAAGCAGGCACCTTAAACAAATGCTGAACTAAATCTATCATTTTCTAACAGAATCCTGAAGCGGGAGCAAATTGTATGATGTTTTGTAAGGGAAATGTCCACTTTAGTAGCTAGAAAATATGCATCGGAAATAGTACCCAAAGTTGCCACTTCTCTGTGCATTAAAGATGTCAATCAGTCCAATAAAATAAAGCCCCCAAAAAGACAAAAAGAGAATTACCTCATTACCTCAACATCTGCTTGAACATAAGCAATCACACACTGGTTAATTTTTTTTAAAGGGACATAATATAACTTTCTAGAAAGACATAATATAGCTAATTATACCATTCACTAGAAGGGAACATACAATGTTTTGAAGTAATTCAGAAGTGGGTGTGATTTATAAGACATGGAGCTTAGGGAATGGTAAGTATAAATTAGAGATTGTTCATATTATGACAGTCTCCGTCATTACATTTCACAACTTTTGTCAAAAGCAACCTCATTCACCACACCACTGATGGCTTCACGTTAGGGAGGGCTGCTGTCAGCTCTGCAGTTGAGAGCAGGGAGCAGCCTTCTTTCTGGTGAGGAATGGGTTCAAAAGGAGTCCCATGATGAAACCAACATTCCCAAAACATAGGTAAAAGACTGCAACTTCACTAATAACCAGGGCAATATACATTGTAAATGGTACCACTGTGACCATTATATTGGCAAAAACTTAGAGTCTTGTCAGGCAGTTAAATTCATAAAGACTATTATTACCAGTATCAACCAGGATGAGGGATATGGGCACTGCTGGGGGGATCTGAACTCTCCAGTTATGGGGGGGAGGGTATTTTTGCACTGTCTGGCAAATCTTTCCATGTGCATGCCCTCAAATCCAACAATTCCATTTCTAAGAATTTTACTAGAAAAATACATAATTGTACACTAATTTACAGAATTATTTAATTAGTGATAATTTAATTAACTTAGAGCAAGAATTACCAGGTTTATTATCTGTATTCTCCCAGTCTAGCATGTGGACCTCTTATGTAAGTACTAGGTATTTGTTAAAGGAAAGGAAAAACATATATTTACGCAACATTAAAAAAGAAAAATAGAGTAATTAATAATGGTTCTTCTTGTTCACGTTAAGGAGGAGTAGTGGAATTATACGAAATGTTCACAGATACTACAGATCATCAGCTTCTAAAACTGATCATAATATTGGTAAGTACTCTTGAGTTTTCTTCTCAAGTCACTAGCTTTCCAGTTAATTCTACGGATTCAACAACAATTACATACTCTCGAAATAAGCCAGTTGTTAGCACACGCAATGATCCAATGACAAATGCTTTGATTTGAGGATGTATAAAAATCACATTGCAAGGTGAAAAAATTCTAGCATCTGTGTAATCTGTCTCAATATTCTTTAAAAAAAAAAAAAAAAAAGGACTACACTTTTAAGAAACAAATCTCACTAGGCATAGTGGCAGATACCTGTAATCCCAGCACTCAGGGAGGCAGAGTCAGGAGGATCACAAGTTAGCAATTTAACAAGAATCTGTCAAAAAATAATAAAAGGGGCTGGGGACTTGGTTAAGTATGAAGGTCCTAGGTTCAACCTCCAGTCTCCTCTTGCCAAAAAAAAAAAAAAAAAAAAAAAAAAAAACAAGAAAAAGAAACACAAATTTCAAAGGCCATCTCTGATCATGCTTAATCAAGGAAATACAGCCTCTAAAAATACCAATGCCATGGATTAGTTTTCCAATAAAATAAAGAGTCAAAAGCTTGGAAATCTTTTTCTCAGCCCTTAATTCAACAGAGACAGAAAATGTGTACCTAAATCAAATAAAAACAATTTATGAGTTATCTGAACTGTTCACCTACAGTTAAAATCACACACAAAATGAGATAAAAGTTTTATTGTATTATTATTGGAAGATGAACCAGCAACAAAAGATCTGATTTCCACTGATATTACTAACAATAAATGTTCTATACCTCTTGGAATATGAATGAGTCTTTAAATTACGGGATAGAAGAAGACGTTATCAAAATAAAAATACTAGTAGAATACAACTATCACTAAAACATTTGAGAGAATCCAGATAAAGGCATTCTGGTTCTGTTAACTGTACGACTTAAGACTGATCTGAGAGGTGAAAGGGCTGGGAAGGTCAAAGAGATTAACATTTACTCAACACTTCCTAGATGCTAGATAATGTAGGAAAATAGGTCTCTGTCCATTTCAGTGAGGGTAAGCAACTTCCCCTAGCTCCCACATCTCAGTCCCACTGAAGCTTGTTCGCCTGGAGGGCAGATTCCACAGGAATCCAGGCAGCCTCACAGAGGGGATGGATGTCCCTGGGTGTTCACAGAGCAATAGAGCAGAGTTCTGGACGGGACCTCAGGAAGTCATCTGGGTTAACCCTCCTCTTTGGTTAGGTAGCCTTTCACCCACCACAGATCCAAAGAGGAGAAGAGACCACTTTACGTTCACCAAGCTGGCAAGCTAAGCCAAGAAAATCAAGAGAACTGAGACAACACCAAGCTTAGCCACAGAGCAGGACCCTGAGACTATCTGACCCTTCAAAGTACCTGTCCCAGCACACTTTCACTTCCTAAATCTGGGTGGTTAGGTTCCCTCTTGACCTATATTCTCCAACCACCTTTTGGTCAGTGTAATCATAATTTTTAAAAACGTGTTAGCTGAACACAGGCTCTCTCATCTGGCTTTGTTCACAAGTGTGGCAACTGACGAAAAACGATTGACATAGTGGCCAAGCAACAGAGAAACGCTTGCATGGGGCCTGGTTTTCCTGCTCCTGGCGCCAACATTTTGGTTTCGTAAGCCCGATAAAAGAGGGGTGTTGACCCAATGACTAATAAATTGCTAGAAAGGAGAAGTGATTTTAAAAAAAAATACCCTGGGCTGAAAAATCCCAGTTGGGTAATGAAAGAGGAACCAGACCGAACCCAAAGAAACGCTGGAAAGGTTTGAGGCTCTACCACAGGCCCAGGGGCGCCAGAACTGCGCCAGGGTGGGGCCACCGCGAGGAGCAAGGCCAGCTGAGCCGCCAGCCTTCCCGCATGGACGCAGGGTCCAGGTGACTTCGGCCGCGCCACATCCCTGTCCCTACCCCCACCCCGACCCCGATCGCCAGCCGAGGCGTCGCGCGGTTCCTCAAGCCGGGTCCGGCTCTCGCGGACCCTCGCCCCTCACCCTAGGCCCTCCGAGGCGCGCAGCGCGTCTCCCCACGACGCCGGAGCCCTCAGGAGACCCGGCCGGCCGCGCGCCCCCAATAGGCCCGCACCTGTCGCAGCCCCAGTCCCGCAGGGGCCGCGGCTCCCACACCTGGCGCCCCCGGCCCGCCTACCTTGTTCCTTCAGGCTGGTGATGAGCTGCAGCTGCTTCTCCTCGTCCGAGCTGTTCATTTTGGCGGGTGGGGCTGGGAATCAAAGGAAAAGAGGGAGCGGCAAGGGGGCCCGGGGGAGGGGGAAGAAAAAGCAAGATGCCGCTGGCGTGCGGCTCCACTACCCGGAAGTGGGATCCGCTCCCGCTCCTCCTCCTCCTGGCGCCGAGCGCGCGGGTGAGATCATCCTCGCGCACCTACCCGCGGCCGCGGCACCTGAGGCGGGCGGGAGACGGCGGGCCGGCGGGGGGCGGAAACGGCGCCCCAGCCCGCGGCGACCGCGCGGCCCGGGAGCCTCCCAGGAGGCCGGCGCCCTGCACGCGCAGGCGGGCGTGGTCGCGCGGCCGCCCCGCACCCTTCCTTCGCTCCGTGTCTCCGGGCGCGGCGCGTGAACGAGGTCCGGGAGAGCCCGCCGCGGCGCCGCAGCGCTCGTGCAGACCCAGCTCAGCACGCTGACCCAGGGCCGCGCCCCCCGGAGCTGTGGATCTATAAGGCGCCTTCCCTGGTTCTCACGCAAGACTCTCGGGACCGGCTGGCCTGGGGTTCGACGCAGCCCCGGCACAGCGGGGCAGGGACCCAAACCCTCCAAGTTGCCCGGCCGGTGCACCGTGAGGCAGCCTAGCTAAGTCACCGTGGGAGGTGAGGGACCCTGTGGTCGAGTCGCCGTTCCCGGCAGCCCCAATGGGTTTCCCAACACTGTGCCAAGTTGGAGAAGAGATCCGAACGTGGGCCCCGTCGCTCTCGAATCGCGAGGCCTGGAGGGCCCACGCGGGTCATTTGGTTCGCGTGGGAGGAGGACCCTCACTGGAGGCAGCTGGCCACTGCCTTCCCAGTGTCCAAGGTCACATGCCTTCCTGGTAGCAGAAGCTGGGTTTGCGAAATAAATCCCTACACTTGCCCCTTTCACTGCCCTCTCCACTTTTTAAACCTGACTCTGGCAGGTTCGGATCAGCAGAGAAACACAGGTCTGCCTGCTCAGAAGCAGCTCTCCGGCCCCCAGCTGTTGAGTAATCTTTGGTCAAGTCTCCTAGTTTTTGAACTTCATCTAGAGGATGGGAACAATAATATTATAATAAAAATAACACACTCCAGGAGGACTTGTAAGGATTGAACAGGGAGAGGAAAATGATCAAAACACCAAGTCCAGAATTCAGCATATAATAGATTTCTTTTTTAAGATTGCAGGGTTGAGAAATGAGTGCTGGTTGGTAATTATAAGCTGAAAGATGCATAGGTCTTTTACAGTGCTCATTAAGCATATAAGACCAACCCACATATAAGACCTACCACATGCCTTGGTTTTCTGTCTCTAAAGTAGGGTCGTGCCCCAGCATCTTGCTTCTGCTCATTCTTGATATCTTATGCAAATGTCCAGTGCCTTTTACCTTGGCCCTGTCTGCAGGATAGAGAGAAATGCTGATAGGTGAGTCTTGTAACCAGTGTCTTTGGTACCTGTTACTAAATCCTAACCCAAAATAAATTTTGGGTTATTCTTTTCCAAAATGGTGATACAGTAGCTTGGTATGAGTAGTGGTAGAATGATCTAAATGGTCAACAATATTTTTAAATAGATTGAACTAAAATTCTTGAAACCTTAAAAACAATTGATACAGGGTTTTTCTTGGCTAAGCGTTTCCCTGGTGTTTCATATGGTAATTCAAATTCTTTGAGGTCAGTTGTAATGAATGTCACCAGAAGATCATAATAGGGCCTTTGGAATTATATTTTAGTCCTTATTTCAAAGTTGAAATAAGCAGAAAATGTGAGACAATTCAGTCTCAGCTAGATGGAAATAGGAATGTGTATTTCCACTGGATATTTTGTGAAAAAGAGAAATTATTTATTTGTTGAATAAAAGTAAAGAGATTTGAGTGCAAATTCCAGTCACCTAGCTTGTGTATGGCAGCCAGATGTGTTAATCCTGAGGTATCACCTTGATTGCCAGACAGCAGGAAGGAGCCCTGGCTTATCCTAGAAATGTTTTCTTACACCTTATCATATATAAAATGTTCATCAGGTATTTGGATTAGAATACAAAATTCCATTCTTTTAAATGGCTGAATTAGTTGTCTTTGCCAACAATACCATAGTTAAGCAATACTTTTGAAGTTTAAGAGTTAATTGAGCTGAGCATGGTGGTATATACCTGTAATCCCAGCACTTAAGAGGCTGAGGCAGGAGGATTGCTGTGAGTTCCAGGCCAACCTGGGTTACATAGTGAGCTCTAGACCAGTGTGAACTACATAACTACATAGTTAGACCCTACCTCAAAGAACTAAAAAAAAAAAATTGAGTTTTTTGGTCCCACACTGAGTCTGCAGCCTCTTGACATTAATTCCATTTACCCTCTTGAAATTTAAATAATCACTTGAAATACAAGATGGTATTATTCCAAGGGCATGGTATGAATTATTAGTATGGCTATTAGAATCACTTATTGGGATTCAGATCTCCTGTTACATTATGGCTTATTCATATGATATGAATATTAATGGGAAGGATAGAAGTAATATAATTAGTTTTTGTTCTCTTTAATAATACACAGGGTTTTATGTTGCAAGTGTCACATCAGAGATATCATTAACCTTCAAACAACGTGTAACTTAAAACCTTTGAAATTCAGGTGCACATAAACACATTCCTTCATGTATGTAGAGGAGAAAAACCTAAAAGCTAACTGAAAGTATTTGTACCAAATGCAAGATCATGAACAGAATATAGAGTAACAAGCCAAAGAGGTAGGGTGGGAAAGTGTGATAATCTATAAGGATTTTCTCTTAAACACTCATTCTATGCTAAGGAATCCACCATAAAAGATCTAAGTACGACAGCTATTTTATTGTAATGTCAATTCTGATGCAAAATTGGCAACATTGGAATTTAATTTGATAAAGAAACAAAATATGACACATGATACAACATAGATGAATTCTGAAAACACACTGAGTAGAAAGAAGTCTGCCAGAAAAGCCCAAATATTATATCTATATCTGCATAAATCTACATAAAATGTTGACAAGAGAGAAAGAGAAACCTAGTGATTTCTATCAAACTTGTTTTGGGGGATGGGTACGAGTTGGGAGAAAATGGGAAATGAGTACTGACTATTGTGTATTTTCTTTTTGGGGTGACAAAAATATTCTAAAATTGTGCTTATGGTTGCACAGCTCTGAATATACTAAAATCTATATAATGCACACTTTAAGTATAGACTTTACATGGGAGAATTTGATGGTATATGAATCATATCCCAATGTAGCTACTATAATAAAACTGATTTTCAAGGAAGAAAATCTACCTTATATACCACTGCAAAACTATTAAATGTATATTTCTCACAAAAGTATTTTTAATTTTTCCAATATTTGTGTACAGTTTGTTCTACTTTTTTATTTTTATTGGTTATAGTACATAAAATGATTATAGTACATAAAATGCTTATAGTACATAAAATGATTATATTTATAAATGATTATGCTTATAGTACATAAAATGATTATATTTCCTGTGGGGAGTCATAATTTTACATAACACATCTTAATTTTTTTGTACTGGGGATCAAATAACCTCGTGCTTGCCAGGCAGGTGCTTATGCTGCTGAGCTAAACCTCCAGCCCCATATCTTAATTTTTTTATCCCCTTCCATTCCCCTTCCATCTTTTGATCCCCTTCTCATTTTAGAGAGAACTATCTTTTATTTTTCTCTTTATATTTCAGGTTTCTCATGTAAAGAAAGTACAACCGTACTTTATATAAAGAAACCTGAAGTATATCCATTATATCATACCCTAGAAAGATACATGAGAGCTTGCTGTCTAATTTATTTCATTTAATATTATTTTCTCAAGGTGCATCCATTTTTTCTACATAAATGACTCGGTTTGTCTTTCTTTATGGCAGCGCAGTCTCCACTGTGTGTAAACACCACATTTTTAATCCATTCATCTATCAGTGGCCATAGTCTTCCTCTAAGATTTGGCTATTATGAAGTGTGCTGCTGTAAAAATGGGTATGCATAGATCACTGTAATATGATGTTTTCCGCAGTTCTGGGAGGATACCTAGAAAGAAATAATTGGGTCAATGCAATTGCTAGTATGAGTTTTTAAAGTAATCTCCACACTGATTTTCACAGGAGTTATAATGGTCTACTTTCCACCAACAGTGTAGATGGGTTCCTTTATCCCCACAGCATCACCAGCATTTATTATTTAATTTCTTGGTCATGGCCATTTTTTTTCTAGGGTAAGATATAACCTCAGTGTTGTTTTCATCTACATTTCTCTAATGGCCAGTGATGTCAACCATTTCATATATTTATTGGCCATTTGTACTTTTTCTGAGAAGTGTCTATTCATTTCACTTCCCCACTTTTTGATTGAATCCTTTATTTTGAGGTGGGACAAATTTTTCTTGTGAGTTCTGTATAGTCTCAGTATTAGTCCTCTGAGGAGTAGCTGGCAAAAACTTCCCACTGTGTAGGTTATCTCCTCACCATATTGCATGTTCCTTTTGCTTTGAAGAAGCTTATTAATTTGATACGATTCTGTTTGTCAAATTTTGGTACTATTTCTTGTTCAACCAAGGTTCTATTCAGAAATTTGGCAGTAAGTCCACCCAGACTGGGCTATTCTTAGTTCTTAGTTTTTTTTTATTACTGCTTTAATTTTACTGACTGTTATTGGATTATTCTGGGATTTTACATCTTTTCTCAGTTTTGGTAATTCATATATATCTAGGAATGTATACATTTCTTATGAATTCTCCAATTTATATGTATACAGGATTGAGAGGTAGTTATTAATCTTTTATATTTTGGCAGTATCTGTTGTGATTTCAGCTTTGATTTTTCTAATTGCATTGATTGAGTTCTCTCTTTCTCTTTCAGTTATCTTGCCTAAGAGTTGGTCTTTTTGTCTATTTTTTAAGGAGCCAATTGTTCAATTCATTAATTCTTTGAGTTTGCTCCTGTTGGGTGGGTGCCACTCATCCATTGCACGGGTGCTTACTCATGTAGGGAGGGGCACCCCTCCTCCCTGTGAGTCTGCTTGCTTTTTGGGTTCCCAGAAGAGTGTTGCTCATTTGGTACAGATCTGTGTTCTATCTTCTACTAGAATATTTCATATACATTTCCATTTATATAAGTTTAATCTATGTATTTTATTCTTGTCCTTCCATTATATCAATAAATACCCACGCTCAAATTCTTAAATATTTGAGTTGTAACTAGTATTTGTCTGTGTACAATTAGTATAACATGAAGGCAGGGACCACATGTAGGTATATCCTAGACAAACTGCTAATAACTAA